ATCATAAAATATTTTGTTTATAAATAAAGACAGAATTTTATTTTTCATGTCTACTTTCATTAAATGTTTAAACATATTAATATATTTCCACAATAGCTTTAATGGTAAATAGTTTTATTAGTATAGGGTGTGTAAATAAACTATATAATTATGACAATATAACTATAGGTGTAATACTACTATAGGTGTAATTATTATACATTTATATTTAAACTTAAAATATATTAAAATTAAACAAAAACATTTTCATAAATTATAATTTTAATGTTAACGTAATAACAAAATAAAAACTACAAATAATAATTATTCTGTTAATGTGTTTATTATATTCAATATAACAGTGACTGATAAATGGCTATCAATTGTATTCAAAAATACTTTAAATACTTTTTAAAATAATTCAATTTATAATTCCGTAAATTATTATATGTTTGTAAAACTTATTCATTCAAACAAATTGAAAGCTATTTTAGAAATGTTCAAAATGTTGTAAAAAACAATAAACTAAACGATTTGATAGTAATTACTGATTGTTTTAATTGTTTGAATGCTTTTAATAATACTAAATATGAAACAATTTTGTATGCATTTAGAGATCAAACAACAAATCAGTCGATTATAACTGAAAATACAATTTCATTAGTTTTTGTCGACAAATATATTGACGACATTACGAAAGGCAGTCAAGTATTGGGAGAGAGAGTGAGAGTGACTGCGAGTGAGACCTCTTTTGGTGGACATCAGAAACGACTTGAATATAGTTTTGTCAGTTGTTGTGGTCGTTGTTGTCGTTGAGACCAATGAGTGAATCCATGTCTCAATTGTCTGCATCGGTGGTGCAATGTGTGGCCCGTATGGCTCACCAGACCTTCGCTGTCAATAGGTTTGTGTCCGAAGAGATCTTCAATGAGTCGCTCAATAAACTCAACAAATTGTTGTCTCAAATGACACACAAAGACATTAATCTAAACAAAGAACTCATGAGTGAATCCATATTAAGTCGTCTCCGATCGCGAAGACCTTCAGTCACTTATGTCTCCATTTTAGAGACGAAACACTTCCAGATGTGTGTCTTCGGCCTCAGGAGTAGTCGGTGTTGTATTCCTCTTCACAATCACCCGGGAATGTATGGACTCATTAAAGTGATGTTTGGATGCGTTTCGGTGGCCAACTATACAGCCCTTCCCATCGATGGTCAGTACGTATTGCCCAACGAAGTGTCCAAACGGGTGGCCGTCTGGCAAAGAGACTTCTTAGGTATGGATGTAATTGCGGTGACGCTTGTGATTGTCATTAATGAAATGTCTAATTAACGCCGCAATCAGTTCCCACTGTATATAACGGCTGCGCGACGATCGACAGTAAGTCCAAAGATGTATGTCTTCTGACACCAAATCAACGCAATTATCACGAAGTGGTGGCCATTGACGGACCGGCGGCTATACTCGACATCTTGGGTCCGCCCTATGAAGAGGACCGCGAATGTCATTACTATAAAGTGGTCGCCACTGTGTTTGACCGCCGATTACAGCGCGACATCACTTGGCTTTTAGAGCTCGAAGACGTGCCACAAGACTATCGGTGCGATTCTTTGCCATACATTGGACCCCATATTGAACTCAATTAACGGTTCGTCACATTTCGCCACTAAATTCACTTATTCTTCAAATTGTATTTTGTTTTGAAAATCATTTAAATATTTAATTGAAACTAATTTTGTTAAATAAATTCAATGAAAATAACTGTGATTTTATTGAAATTCAATTTTTATTGTTTTAAACACAAGAATAATAACTGATTTAACATTTTTAAAGAGTAGTATTTAGTAATAGGTTTTGTAAATAATTTTAATAATTCACAT